GTGTGGCTTGCATTGCTTATGAAACTGGAGAGGCAAGTGATTATCATTGACACCCCGCGCCTCAAGGCATAAACCAACGCTGCTCACATTTCGCAGCACTTGCGACAACTCGTTATGCCATTAGCGCCACTGGGTCACTGTCCCCTCCGAAGACCAGGTTACAGGTTCTCCAAGGTCTTCGGCCCCTCGTTGTGTTTGGGCAAAAAGACGATGGTTTTCCATAAACATGTGGTGAGATCTCTCTCCTTGCAGAGGGTTCCTGGTCCCATCATGATTGCCAACTCAGGAATGGGACCATGAAAATGATGATGAACAGCACCGACAAGAAAGTGCTGGACAGAAACACAATGAAGCGCATGATTCCGTTCGCATGGATGGCTGGTCATTGAAACAAAGATCCGACAGAAAAACAAAACAACTCAACAATGGCTTTCACACACTCTGTTGTCGACCTTGTGCTGTGTCGGGGCGTTTTCTTCAAAGACGGGCCGTGAGTCGTCGTGAGGACCTTCTGTTCTCCAAAGACGCATTGGAGACCCTGTTCAAGGCGATTCAGCGTGTGAAGAAGCAGGAGACGGATGAGCTTTACCGGACCTTTCCCGTCCCTGGACGGTTGCCAGACCGTTCGGTTTTGTTTTTTTCGGCTCGCCGATCGATGAGAAACCTGACATAACCACTTGGTATTCCGTGGTAGTTCTGTTAATTTTTTGGAAGATGCAGATGCACATCGGACAACAGTGCTTGTTTGGAACTGGATGGAACATGATGGAACTGGTATCATCTTCGCACCTCAACCGGCCCAAACGCTGTGAGCGTTTCATTGCTGTCGAAGTCCAGTTTGGAGCTCCCCACAGGATCTGTCGGGAGTGCCACTGTGGAGGGGGGGTACTCACGTCATTGCGCTGTGTTCTCCTGGCTGAGCCACGGCGCTTGACGCCTGACGCGAGCCTCGCCCAGGTCCTCATGAAGTTTGTGGGGGAAAACCGGCCAGCTGCCTTGGAGGTGCGATGCCCTTGCAGGAGCCCCTAGTAGCTTCTTGTTCCTAATAGCTTCTTGCCCCTAGTAGCGATGCCAGGAGCCCCTAGTAGCGTCCGAACGCTCCTAGTAGTACGGCCAGGAGCCCCTAGTAGCTTCTTGTTACTAGCTGCCTTGGAGGTGCGATTCTGCAATATGCTCCGTTCGTAGCGTCCGAACGTTTTAGTAAGGCCAGGAGCCCCTAGTAGCGTCCGAACGCTCCGTTCGTAGCAATGCCAGGAGCCCCTAGTAACGAACATTGTTACTAGGGTACAAGTAACATCAAGTCACTTCTATTTTAGGGTGGGGTACGTCATGTCGAGCCGAGAAAGGGGAGACAGCCCAGACAGCCCTGTCGCTCCCTCATGTTGAGTGACTTCAAGCTTCAGCCGACTTGAGATTCGACATTCTTTGTTGCCAGTCTTTGGCGGCCGTAGCATAATAAAATACGCTGGTTCTCTTGAAAGCTTTGGCTTTGGACCGCTACCAGCCAGCTGGTGCAGCAATGGCAATGTCCAAACGCCCAAAAAAGTCCAAATGCATCACAGCTCAAATCGTGTTAAGTTTCCTTAACCATCTAGAAGCCAACTCATTAGTGCAAGCGTCAGCTATCCTGCGTCCATATATAGGCGCGTCATGTACCTAGTAGCTACCTCAGTTCCTTAATTAAGTAGGCGCCTGCTTAATTAAGTAGGGAGGGGGGGGAGCGGGCTTAAACAAAGAGTCCTTGCGAGCACTTTTCAATCTGACCCGCAAGATGCAGGTCAGCTGGAACATGCATGCTCCTTCTGCTTGGCCTAGCATACACGTTGATTTCAGATGTGTTCAAGCTTGTTTTCTGCTCTTGTTCTACACAACACCAATAAAAGCAGGAAACGAGCTTCAACGAAGCTGAACTCAAATAGAATTAGTCTTTATCAGCAACAGCACGTGGTTTGTGAACACTTGTGTTTAATGCAGGTGCCACTGCAGCTGACCAAATAGGGAGAGAACCATCCAAAACGCATATAGTTTGCAGTAAGCCTTCAGTAAGCTGGCCATCGCTGTCAATGTTCGCATCACATGCCCAGAAGAGAGGCAGTTGGTGACAAGCTGCTGGAGCTCTACATGCCTATGCCTCTGGACACTTGTAATTACCAACAGGCTTGAAGAGGAATCGGCCATCATTTGATTCTTTTCTAGTCGTTGCTTTCGTTGAGGCTTTCAGCGCATGGTTTTCGTTCGATCAATTTCCTCCGCAATGTTTCCTTCTCCATTTCGGTGGCTATTAGTAACAAGAAGCTATTAGTAACAAGTGCCACGCTACTAGTAACAAGTGCCTTACTAGTAGTAATAAGAAGCTATTATTGCTTTTGTGCGAATAGAGGAGCAGAAGGCTGTTGAGAGATTTGCGGTTCAGCGTCAGCAGTGGGATGCTGCGAACCAGACAAGATCTGACACTTTCATACACTTTCAGACCCAAACTTGAGGGAAAAAAGTCAGCGATCTTGCGCAAACTTGAGGAAATGGCCACTCCCAAGCCCTTCATTGACGTGATGATCGACCAAACTCCCAATTTGGCAAAGAAGTTTTGGTCCAAGGCCGTCCATGAGGGTCTGGAGTGAGGAGGCAGTTGTCAAGTTAGGATGTATGGGGAAGCAGACATCCCTCCAATTTAGTCCGGTTTGTTTCGACATACCCCTACTATATAGTATAGCTACTAAATCGCCATGTTGCTACACTGATTTAATGGAGCGTTCCCTATCCTCAGCACTCAGTACTCAGCCCATCAGATGTTTCAACTATTTGACACTTGCCAGAGTTACCTTTGGGATCTTGCAAGTAGGGCAAACTGCTTGCTACTGAAGCGTTTTCTGCCTCGGTTTGCTGTTTTTGGTCGCACAGTTTTTGTTGGCTCGCTTCAGGTGGACGTGTGGATGAAGTCTGTGAAATCAGCCAAAGGCGGCCCAATGTACGAATCTGCCTCTCAGCTTTGAAGTCAGAAGAGCACGGGACATGGTACCACAGTGTATAGAGAGAGGGTGGTGGAGTGACGGCGTGATAATGTGAAGTTCCTGTGAGCAGACCTACAAGATAACTCACACTAGAGATACGTCGAGGCACCGATAACTCAACGTCGCGGCACCGAAAAAAACGGCCGTTGGTAGATGTTGATCGGTTGCGTGACCACTTCGTCGATGGAGGGAAACCATGGGAGACCTCCAGTGAGCCTTGACGTGGTCCTTGTGAGCCGTGATGGTACACCACCGCTCAGCCGTTTTGGTCGAAGCTTCAGCGACACATTCTGTGGTGAGAAGACACCCTTGACTGGAACCAACATGGGACCAGGGACATTCTTCAAGTCAAGGACATTTGTCCAAGGATGTTTCACGACGTTTCACGATTTTTCACGATCACCCATGGATGAGACACATGCAGGTCTCGTACGCTGCGACACATGCAGTCGAAGGAATGCCGAGGCACAAGCCGGACGGAGCCAGACGGATGTCGAAGTGCGAAAGGTGGTTCCAGCATTGTCTATACTAGAATTAGAGAGGTTGTTCGAGAACATGAAGGCTAGGCTTTCAATCTTTGCTGATATCGGATAATGTCCAGCTACTCCGGGGAACCAATCTGCTGACCTCAGAACAGCATTGCCAGGGCTTTGGAAGAGAAAGATCTCGAAGACTTCTGCCGGAAGATGAAAGAGTGGGCTGAGTTGGGCAAAGGAGACAAGCTACTGAGTTGACCAAACATTTGCGATTTTGGTAGCTGTAGCAAATATATAGCTGCGACCGTCGGAATAAACATCTGGTCGCGATGCCGTTCCGCGGTTCCGCAGGTCGTCTGCATGCCATGACCCAGTCACATTTGGTCGCAGGTTTGACCCGAGTTGCAGGGGTTCTTTGCCACCTATCTTTGAAAGATCCCCAGAGTTTCCACGTTTGTTGATCATCTCATTCCTGTAAATCTCAGTGTTTTTGACAACACATATCTTAGAATGGCTGCATTCGTGCTAGGAGCAGCGCCGTCTTTCCGCCGAGTTCTTCACTTCAGAGTTTACTCACCTTTGGTCCCCTGCACATTTAAAATTAGACGAGTCTGAACAGCTGCACCCTGTCAGCCCTTTTTTGACCTTCTCCCCGCTAGTTGTCTGACTCACTTTCCATGCAAGTGGAACATGGTCACTTGGAAGATGACTTTCCCTTAACACACCAGGGGGTCTTACAATTCCATGGTCCATAGTGTTCGTCAGAGCGTCAACCGAAGGATCGACGATCCGGACCGCACTCAACTGCTGCGACAGCAGTTTTTCCTGTAGAGGAACCTCCATGGAAGACACCTTGAAATCGGCCGCCATCGTCGCCATCCGCTCAGTGCTCTCACGCGCCACTGGGACGGGGAGGTGGGGATCTTGGTGTGAGGATCGCCAGCTTTTCACCCACCGGCGCGGTGGATAAGGGAAGCCAACAACATGATTGGAAGAGAGTAGAATGACGGCCCTAAACTGGGTGAATGAAGGCCCTAAACTGGGTGATTCGGGAGCCCTACTGACCTCGATTTGGGACTTGATTCGATCATAAGAGGCCTTTGGGGCAAGTTCATGCCCGTTTCAATTTTGACCGCAACTCCTCGGAGCATTCCATTGGGGTCTTTGCAGAATGGTCGATGATAGAACGCATGGCACAAGGATTGGAACCTCATATTGAATACCTCCAGCTTGGCACACGCCTGCAGCCTATTCTTACTGTCCTCACTGCTAGGAAAAGGTTGGAAGTAGCAATTCGCCGATGCCGAGGATAAATCCCGGATCCCTGCCAACGTTTTGGATTGGATCAAGGACCAGTGTGATGAAGCCGGGCTGACTTGAGTTGAAGACGCAGAGTTATTGACCAGTGGGTGTTCATTTTGCAAAGGTTGCAGCGAATGCTCGAGGCTCAAGATTTAATTCGGAACTCTTAGAACCCAGAGACTCATCATTTCAATTTTGCTTCTCTGCTTCGAGAATGTTCAAATGGCTGACCTCTGACCGCGACAAGGGGACCCGAGCCTTTGCATCGGTGGCGGATGGTCTGCAGGCGTTGTACAAAGAGAAATTGTTGCCCATCGAGAAGGATTTCAGCTTTCATCACTTCTTCTCGCCGGAGCTCACAGATGCAGACTTCTCAGCCCGTCCCATGGTCATGTTGGTCGGCCAATACTCGACCGGGAAATCGACCTTCATCCGCCATCTCTTGGGTCGAGACTACCCAGGCTTGCGCATCGGTCCAGAGCCCACCACCGACAAGTTCGTGGCGGTGTGCAAGGGCGAGATGGATCAAGTGATCCCGGGCAATGCGCTGGTGGTGGATAAGTCCATGCCCTTTACTCAGCTCAGTCACTTTGGCAACAACTTCCTCACCCGCTTTGAGTGTTCCAAGCTGGACAGCCCCGTGCTGAATGGCATGTCCTTGATCGACTCTCCAGGCGTCTTGTCTGGGGAAAAGCAGCGGATCAAGCGCGGCTACGAATTCGAAGAAGTTGTGAAGTGGTTTGCAGACAGGGTTGATATGATCCTGGTCTTGTTTGATGTGTCAAAGCTAGATATTTCAGATGAATTCCGACGTGTGCTTCTTGCGTTGAAGGGGAACGATCAAAAGATTCACATTGTCTTGAACAAGGCTGACAGGGTTACGACGCCGCAGCTCATGCGTGTCTATGGAGCCCTCATGTGGTCTTTGGGAAAGGTGATCGACACTCCTGAAGTTTCTCGGGTGTACATTGGCTCTTTCTGGGATGAGCCACTTCAAAACGATGAGCAAAGAAAGCTATTTGAATCAGAAGAGAATGACCTCTACACAGCACTTGCACAAATGCCACGGAGTGCTGCCACAAGAAAGCTGAATGATCTCATCAAGAGAGCTAGACTTGCGAGGGTCCTCGCTTTCCTTTTGAATCACCTCAGGAACAAGACACCTTGAGCTTGCTTCAGATGCTTTTTCTCATTCTCAAATCTACCACGGTACTTGGAAGACTGTAGCTATAGTTCAGAGGTTTTCTCTACTTCATCACAAGGGCAAATTGGTGAAGAGAGGTATCGCGAGTGTTTTCTAGCTTAACCGTTCGGCTTAACCATTCGTTTCGGTGGTCAGGTGTGGATCAGTCCTACAGATTGTTTCAGCTTTCTGACCTCATAGGATGCCCCCCGTCTCCTTTGAACATGATTCGGATTCATGGTCGAGGCAACGGTAACGGATCCAGAAAAAGAGTCCGTCGAAGCTCTTTTCCTCTTGCGCTCACCGAAGGCTAGTTGCCTGTGGTCGCAACGCAATTAATTAAACGTGGTGAGCTTCCTTCTGGCAATAGTCCTTCCCAATTCATTCGAAGCTCCTGAAAAATAGCACTAAGAGCGCACTTAGGTCAGGTGCTGTGTTTCTTAGGCTGAGATGCCCGATCTAAGGATGCCATCCTTCATGGGGAAGAGCAAGGAGCAGAAGAAGCTCATAGACAACCTGCCGAACGTCTATGGGGAGATCGCCAAGGAGAAATCCTTGGCCATGGGCGACTTCCCAGACCCGCAACTGATGAGAGAGAAGCTGGAGAAGATGGATTTCACCAAGTTCCCCAAGTTGGATAAGAAGACTCTGGGCCTTGTTGGAAGTGTATGAAGTGATTCACAGTTTGGGATCATGTCGATCAAGTTTTAGGGCTGAACATTGTGCTGCACTTTCTTTGGGCACAGGGTTGGATGTGTTCCTGTCGTTACTCCCGTTCCTTTCTACCAATGCACGCTGATTTCAGTTCATACTGGATATTTAACATGATTACACATGCATTTGTACTGTATATAATAGTATATAGTATATACAGTACAATAGTTTCTTCACAAGATGCTTCTAACTTGCTCCCTTCTTTTCTGTTGGATTGGGGCTGATCTGCCAACAATCCATGTGGGAGTGCATTAGAAGAGGGAGTCCCTCCAGCTACTGGATTTGAAGTGATTGACTTTGTACCTGGAGGTCTTTTGAGAGCCTCCTGCCCTATGCCACTTCGACTCCCAATAGGGACCCCTGAAGGACTGTCTTCGGGCGCGGATTGGATTAGTTTTATATATTCTATATTAATAATAAAGGCGGTTGCAGCCCCTGATCCACAATCATCATAGGTTCTATATTTTTGTTAGCATCCAACCATAGATAAAACAACCATGCTTAGATTTCAAGTGTTTTCAAGCACTTGGGCCATACATATACAAGACCTCTGCTGTCCATTGTTGGGATTTTTTGAGAAGATGGATGGAAAGGTCACAAAATCATCTAGTTGGCGATCTTGCTGTCGTGTGAAGATGTTCAACCCACCAAAGACTTGTTTCCAGCTGAGGAAGATGGATGCTCTGGAGTCTCAGACGGCCAGCCACAACTTTTCTGTTTTCAATTCTTGTGGATTTATGCAGTCTGGAGCTTTCATGAGTGCACTAGCAGTTTGCTGATGTTCACCTTTGGTCCCAAACTGGATAGATTCGACAGTGTCAAAAAAAATAGATGGATCCACCCAATTATGTAACTGTCCATTTGCTATAACGAGAGGTAGACTAAATAAATACTTAGAAATGAAATGAGTTCCTCCAATCTTTGGACCCACAGGGCAGCCACCAGCTCTTTCTTTTTGGTGTTCCAAGAGCAGAACACTTTTTTGTTCACCCTCTTGTCAAGGAGAAGATGATCCATGAAGAGCTTCCGCAACTTTTGAAGCTCACCACCGAGGAGGCCGCCTCCTCCCAGGCGGCCTCCATGTCGCAGCTGACCGCTGGTGCCTCGCCCTTTGCCGTCGCTTGGAGTAGATGGGCGGTGCTCCATGGCGGTGGCGGTGCTTGGGGATCGATGCTCCCGGGATTTGGGGGTGCAAGACCAGACAAGAGGAACAAGCACCCAGCCCAGCAGGTCAGGAGGGATTGGGATTTGGCTGTTATTTTCTCTTCGAGTTTTGGGAGGTGCAAGCATCCCATGTGTATCCACTTTTCTGATCGAGGGCATGCCAGGTGGTGCAGTGGTGCAGGACATGGTCGACCCTATTGAAATCATGGCCATGGGAATGTTCTTGAGCTCAGACAGCGACAAAGCTCTTCACCGTGCACTGCTTGGTAGAAATTCAAGAACACAACACAACACAACTGCGGATTTCTCACCCAATCTTTCCAGTCACACTTTCCCCCACAGGTCTAACAGCAAACCTATGACGGGGCATACATGTGAAGCATTGCACAGGGGCACGAAGACTTTTCAATCAACCAGACCTGTTTATTTGACAAAATGCAGGAAGCAAAAGACTCGAATTGCAGATGGAGCTGCCGTGGTCTTTCCCATGTTCGGATCGACTGCTGTTTGGGATATGAGATCCCAAGTCCAAAACCCAGGGTCCTCAAACCAGGGGAGCTGCTCGCCAGTTTTTTGGGTCTCTCTCTCTCTCTCTCTTTTGTTAGCCAGTATAGGGGTTCCACTGGTGAAACGGAGTCATGCTTTTTCCATGAACCGCAGGATGCGACTCGGACAATCCGGAGTTTGTTTTTTGGCGAAAGAACATCCATTGAGGTCATGAAGGTGGATGGCAAAAGCGAACGGACAGTGTACCAGGATCAATGGCTGCAGCCCCCAAATGTCGACGAATACTTGAAAGAGTTCGAGGAGATTGGCCCCAATAGCGCAGGCAAAATCTCTGGATCCCAGGCGAAAGTCGTTCTGGAGCAGAGTAAGCTACCTTCAAAGGCAGGGAGTTTTTTTTCTCTATATATTTTACTATTTTGTTAAATAATATTTGTTCAAGTCAAGTGAGCATATTTTGTCCAATTAGCAACACTCCATTGGTTTTTCTTTGTGAACAAGTTGCGCCATGTCCAAGCTTGGCCTCTTCAGGTGCTTCATGCGATTTGGAACTTATCCGATGTAGACAAGGATGGCGCTCTGACTCAGGCGGAGTTTGCACTGGCCAAACATTTCATTAAGATGAAGCTGGAGGGACAAGATCTTCCGCCTACCTTGCCTCCGCAAATGGTCCCTCCGCCTGAAAACCGGGCCTGAGGTCGTTTTCCGCCCGTCCCGGCACACCGGTACCGGTGAGGGCTCGATACATCGCAGATGTTCGGTCAAGCCGATGTCTACATCGAATTAAGCTTTTGATATTTTGCTATGCACAGTTATGGATTATGCAATCCCAGAGTCAAGAAAGAGGTCGGACGACAGGCAAACCGAGCTGAGTGAGAGAACCAACAGCGCTTCTCTCAAAGCGCACCGACTGACAGGCTTTTAGGCGGCCTCAACATATATAGATTGGGAATGAATGGGATGCGGATCAGCAAGATTCTTGAGGATCAACGGTTCCACCATTTTGTTCATACTAATGTTCTCCTGTTGGTTACAACAGAAAGGATCAACACTTGTGGCAACATGGTGTTGAACAAACTGGTCACCAGCTGCGGCTGGGCTGGGAGTATTTGTGGACAACCTTCAGAACGGTGCAACGTCTACAAGGTGAAACAACCCAACTGTTTTCATGTATGTTCCCATGATGCCTCAGTGTCGTGTGGTCTCAACGACGGAGCTTTGCAGGAGATCAAGACCGGGGATGGCTACAGCCGTTCGTCGGCGGAGGCCTTCGTGGACGCTTATGAGGGCAGGACTCTGGAAGGTGCATGGGACTGAAAAAACCGGATCTGGGAACTCGTGGGCGGATGTGAGAAAAGGTGGAACTCGTAGATTCATTCGTTTCTCCTGATCGAGCGATGACCTACAACCTAGTAGCGATGAAGAGCGATGGCCTCCAGTCTGCAATCTCCGATCGAATCGGTGGCCGGCCGGGCGGCCAGGTGCGTATGAACAGATCAATGCCTTGAACACGCGCTTCAAAGAGGCCTCACAACTGGGAGAAGCGGACGAGTAGGTGCTGCGGACGAGTCATCGACGAGTCGGCTTGTTTGGTGTGTTTAAGCTATTGAAACGAGCTCGCGGGAGTCTTTGGTTGGACTGTTTGGAGCGGTGAACACCAGGAGGGACACACCGACCCTACTCCCCCCGGAGTCGGGTTTTCTTAGTCGAGGACTCCAAACCCAAACCCCCGATCTCCAGGCGTGTGTGGATATGGAAAGCCTGAAGCAATACGTGGATGAGAACGTCTCCGATCTTAAGGACTTTATCGCCTCAGTGGCCAAGAAGCTCCCAATGCCCGTGAAATTTACCACCGAGGAAAAGCACCTTGGCCCTGTCAAGTCCGTAAAGGGAGTTGGGCAGAATGAAACAGGTATGTTTGGGCTGGACATTGGAAGAGCGGAAGAGCCGTGGTTCAGTGCTGTCCGGAACGCTCAACGCTTAGGACTCTGCTTTATTGACAATGACTGCTCGCGAAGACGGGGTGTTTTTATTTTGACATGCACCTTTGTTGCAAGCTTGAATGTCCCTGATAGTAACGATCTCCAAAATTGAAGAAGGACGCATCAACGATCCCAACGCATATTGAATTCCAGAGCCCCGAGCTCTTATTGTTTCTTGTTTCCCTGGACCCCGTTGAGCCAACCTGGGCTTCTCCATGGGCACCACCCTGAACCGTCGGGTGTTTGGCCCTCACGGGACCACCCCGTCTTCGGCGGCACCTCACCCGGGCGCCTCTCGGGGTTTTCCCTGCTGGGCAAGTGCTCTGCGAGTGGCCCTCCGGCGTTGTACAATGTTGTACAGAGAAGCGTTACCAGCTTAAGATACCTTCGATGTGCGATAATTATGCTAGAAGGTACTAGCTGCGGAACTCCCCACCGCAAGAGCTCAGGTTCGTGGTCAAGAAGGCAATCTTGCTGCATTTTGAGTGCCAAGCACCAATTCGCACCCGATACTGCGCGCTGCAGAACGTTGCTTGGCCAAACTGGATGTGCGCCAAGCTGGATCGAATGGGGTGAAACGATGTGAAATGGGAATCCGCTGAATTCCCTTTACACATTTTTACACTTCATTCCTGCACCTGGTTCTTCTTGCTGTGGTGCACCTGGTGTTTTAACTCCATTTGTTCCGGACAGCGGGCACAATAGCATGCGAACCAGCATGCGGACGCGCCTGGCTGTTCTCCTTTCCATTGTCGGTTCAGCTTTGCACACTCAACACGCAGACGGTGGGTTCTTCAAAGTCTCAAACGATCAACCTCATTCCTGGTTGGCTTGAGAGTTTTAAACACACCTCCAAGAACCACTTCGAAGAATCCAACATAAATGTTCATCTTCCACCAAATGCCCTTTCCACCCATTGGCACCATCGTCCCCATCTCCCTTCCTTTTCCCTTCCTTTCTCCTCTGCCGTCTCAAGCGCTCCTTCGCCCGCCTGCTCGCTCGCTCGCTCGCTCGCTCGCGACTCGCGAGCGTGCGACCGTCCGAGGGTAAGACCTACACCACCGAGACCTTGGAGTGGAGCCGCTGGTTGAAGATGGGTTTGAGCGCCGCGAAGCTGGGCAAGTCGGTGCTCACCGCCGTTCCTCGGCCAACGTCCACGCCGTGGTCGTTCGGGGTGTCGACTTCACGGGGGAGTAGGGACTTGAAGATGCGAAGGAAGCAACAGCGACCAAAAGGGACGAGCGGAGTCACAAGATGTGTGACAGGGTAGATAGATGTATTATAGATTCGATATAGCGCCTCAATGATGTAACAAAACTAAATATTATGGATGGACACGATGGAAATGGAATCCCATTCATGACATATATTGGAGATAGCTTTTGGATGCTTTTAGTCTCTTTGGGGGCCTGGATGGTTTGATTGGAGTGTACTTGGAAGATGTTTGAGCAAGAGATCCGACCATCGGTCAACACCGCGATGCTTCGGTCTGGAGCATCCTTCAGTAGAAAGATGACACAGGCGATATAGCCAACCTCCAAAAGCGATTCCAACATATGGAGTTCCACACATGTGCCCATAGGTTTTGGCGATCGCTCAGGTGTACCACCGAACCGAAGGGGCAATCAACGGACGAGTCCAAGTCTTGAGTGATTCAGTCTAAGAGTTTGGGTCATGTCAACTAAGTAAAAGACGCTCAAGCCAGGGGGTCTTTTCAGCCTAGCTTTAACAAGACCCCCTGGCTTGAGTGTCTTTTGCTTAGTTGTACTTTCACAAGAGTTCGAGTACAGTTGGATGTTTCTTCTTCCACCCCGGTCCCAAAAAGAACCACGAGCCAAAAACGCTCGGTGCCTCTCGTGCCGGCGACAGGATGCGATTGCAGACCTGCCTGGAGTGGTGGACCAGGTGAAGGGCCTCTACAACATGTACACGCCGCTGGGAGTGATTTGGACACGGTGGGAGTCATTCGTTGGATCGGTCATGGGCTTTTCAAAACATTTGTGAGTTCCGGCAAACGTGGCGATGATGTCAGCTGTCATGTGGTACTGTAAGATCAACAGCTTTTTTTTTGTTGTTGTTGTTGTTGCCTGTTGCCTTCTCAGACCTGGGAGGTTGTAGATGTTAAATCCCATGTTGACAATTGATGTCAACATTGGACAGCGAGTCGACCAGATGGAGATTGGTTGGAAGGTGTTTCTTTTTCTCCGGTGCACGCACCGCCCTGCACGGGGCATACCTTGGATTCGTGCAGGTTGCAGGTTCGTGAACTGCAGATGATGGTCTATTCATTTTGAGGTTTCTGCCTTCTAGATGTCTATATTACATCAAATCAATAAACTAATACCAGTCTAGTGACGAGAAACATTCCAAATCCCAGCAGATCGGGTAGAAGCGCTGAGGAAGGAAGATGGTGAAGATTTCTTGAGCTTCATCTCCGAAGCATGGCTTGAAGTAGTGTTTCCCTTCACCATCTATGAAGTTCTATATAGATGTTTGAGTTTGAATATATTTGATGTTTTCTTGCTATCACTGGGAAGTCTTCTTCAGCTGGTACGACTCACTGTATTGCGGGCCTGGCCTGGCAGGCGATTCTCATTTTCAAACCAGTTGTTGACCACGGTGAAAGAACACAAGCTGTCGAGCCATATGTCACTCATTTGAAGCCACCTTCGGAGCATACGCATGTGGTCTCAGGAGCCATTTTTGACCTCGGAAGAGCAAGACAAGCTGTTGAACCAGCTTCGTGCTGCAAACTTCTTTCAGAAGTTTCAGTACGACAACCAAACAGCTAACTGGATCTGTGCCAACTGCCATGCCATCTACTTGAAGGCACAACTCTGACGGAGACTGAGGGTGGATACCCTTGGCTCATCTTGAGACAGGTGCAAACCGTTGTAAGTTGTATAACTATACAGTAATCATATATTCTATAGAATATATACAGTTGTGATTGATTTGATACAAAGAGAATATGATCACTATTGAATCACTCGTGAAAGACACCCCTGTGCTTTTTCAGAATAATGGAGTCCCATTTCTCACAGCCACACCAGGCGGGCTCCAACCGCAGTGAGGCAGGCATTGAGGCCGCATCCTCTCACCCAGAGGCGGGAGAAATCCGTCAATCGTCCGCGCGGTTTTGAGGCGGCCGCCGAATCAAAGACCCCTTGCGCGATTTGCATTTGATCTGACACTTTGGCGCCACAGTTTGGGCCTGAAAACAGTTCCACGAGTCAGGAAAGACAGTTTGGTTTAGGAAATCCATGGGTATTCTTTCTTGGAGAATTCAATGGAGACCTTCAAAGGTCCTTCGTCCTTCGTCCAGTCTCCAGCGCTCCCGAATGTTCTCACCACAAAGAAATGGAGCCCTGAGTCCGACTGCTTTCCTCGTGAGTCTATGTGTTCAGGGTCCAAAACATGGCGAGTCTTCAGCTGTTTTTTCGTTTTGTTGCTAGTAGCGGCTAGTAACAAGAAGCTACTATAGGTGGAGGCCGCAGGTTGGAGGCCATCGCTAGCTACTAGGAACAAGTGCATCGCTTCTAGTAACAAGTGCCTTACTAGTAGTAAGAAGAAGCTAATAGTAACAAGTGCCACGCTACTAGTAACAGGTGCCTTACTAGTAGTAACAAGAAGCTATTAGAAACAAGAAAGCTATTAGTAGCTATTGTTCTCATGGACCACTTCTCCACCCCGACCCGACAGGTGGAGTTACCCTTCCCGTCGCTCAGCTTGGGCCAAGAGGGTGCGACCGCACAGGCGCCGAGAACGAAACACCCGGCCGCACCACGAATGGAGCGCCCCCGAGGGGGGCGAGGCTTTTTAGAATTGATGCGAAAACACCAGCAGAAAGCAGAAGGTGAGCTTTCCCCCTCATGCTGAAGGACCTACATAGTGAAAAAAAATAGGAAAAAGGACACCCAAACAACCAATCTCAGGCTTATTCTACCATATTCTTCCCATCCAGCATTCCAGAGGCTCCCGGGCGCCTTCGCAAATGCGAACACCGCGCAAGCACCAGAAAAAAGCGTACGCCAGGAGCGTGCGGAAAACGCCATGGGCGCTGCCTTGGAGGTGGGACGTCGCCTTGGCGGCGGGCCGTGGGTTTGATATGGTTTGATCAAAGATAGTTGGCTATGGGCTATGGTACCCCAATTGATGAAATGAATGAAGTGACATTAGCTAAAACCTGTGTGGAACTTCATTGTTTGATTATGGATCAACAATGATCAAGGCAAAAAATGAAGTTCCACAGGTTTTTGCCAATTTGGCTTTATAATGGGATCCATTGGGGTTTCGCAGGCAGGTTTCTCACCCACTGGCAGCTGTCACTTGGGTTGCTTACAGAGTTGTCCCTTTGATGGAGCGACCGCTTCGTAGAACTAGATTTGGATTGTCTCAGCAACATTCCAAAGATATATAATCGCTGTTTTAGTAGAGCCCCCTGGTTGAACTTCACCATCAACTGGAATTGCAGGAATCGATGGCTGTGCAGCGATTTGGGTTGGGTTTTCTGGTTGTATATATATATATACTTCAATACAACACTCAATGGCCACACTATGTAACAACCACCCAAAGTACTTCCCAAAGTGTGGCTCAGGGTAGACTAAGAAGGGGAGTGGATTACGGTTTGTGGAAGAACCTCCCTCACACCATTTTTCCGTTCAGCCACTCTGGGTTTCAGCCGATGAGAGTTGGCTTTTACATGCAGCAAACATTCTGAACAGAAGGGAGAGGGAGAGACCGTCGTTTGACAAGCCTAGTCCCATTGCTCAAGTCGTTCATGTTGCAGACATGCCTTTCTTCCAACCTGGGTGTGGTGAACCCAGACGTCACTTGGGATGTCCCTTCCTTGGCATCAATGGGCATGAGGATTCTCAAGTGGTCTATGCACGGCAACGCTTTTGTCAATTTTTGTTTTGCTCATACAGATCTAAGGTAATTCGGAATACTCACGGCCGAACAAACCACTGATTATTTGACAGTATCAGTATTCAGTATTCATGTTTTCACTGCGAAAACAGGATGCCGCTGATGGTACAGCGTCAGCAGAGCGCACCAAGACATGAATACAAAATCAATTTATATCCATTGATCAATCCATTTATACTGTAAATAAGCCCGCGTCCTTTCAGGGTTGTGCCTGCATGAAGATGGCTTCCACAGCGGCCCTTTTATTCTTAGTGTTCAAAGGGGTTCAATCTGAATCCATATCATAGCATCCTTTGATTGAATCATGTATGTGTTTGAAGGGCTATAGGTCCCACAACTGGGGCTTTCTGCTCGCCATGTTGCCAGGTCAAGAAGACGACCATGGCATGCTGCTCCCTGTTTGGTATGAACCTTTGCACTTCGGATGGTGATGAGCTGCAGGTGAATTAGAGCTATCACCTTGCTGATGGAGGGGTATAGGAGGCCACAGAAGCAGGATATTGGCATATAATATATTGCTGCATTTTGCGTTGGTTGGACTTCCAAATCCCAACTTTCTGCCATAAACACTTGCTGATGCCTCGACGTACGCGCCACCTGTGCGTGTTCCAGCTAGTGCCACGAGAGGGTGTTGAAGGAACCTGCGAGCTATTTTGTGGATCCAATTTGAGCCTTTTGACCGTCATCTGGTGTGCCAAAATGGTTTCGCCTCCCTTGGCATTGGAGTTTTAAGACCTTGAGGTGACGCACTGATCGTAGTGGGCAATTGATTGGGCGATTTGGTGTCCTTGCTGTCAATAGATCGCTCGGTTGAAGGCCATCCTTGCCAATGGTGCTCCTGCTGAGATAGTAGGCTTTCTGGGCTGCTGAAGAGACTCTGACCTTTCTGCTGCAGATCTTTCCTGAAGGGAAAGTGACCAACCGAGGATGATGATTTGCTGACGCTGTTTGGACCTGTATGCTGTCAGTCTGTTTTCTCTTGTTTCTCTGATTCCCTCACGACTCACACAGTTCTGACTTACATAGTTTGCCTACCTATCCGGGAACCACACAGCTGGCTGTGCCGGCGCGAGCGCGGTGTTCTCCCGGACCCGGAAGACCCGCGTGCCCTTGGTTGCGGCAGATGAGTGGCACGGAGGCGCCTTCACAAGGATCCCAATGAGGGCCATTCAGTAGAGCCGACAGAGGAAAAGAGGTGAGCCGACCGTGGGTGCTGACCGACCACGGTCCTTCTGGCTCATGGACCTGAAGACCCTTTTGAGGGAATTAATTATCAGGTTTGTTGATACTTTGTTGAGCCTTTGACCAGCACATTTAATGGAGTGTACGTACACAATGTCTGAGAGGATACCCCATGATACCCCCACGTCCATTGTAGCGTGAAATCACGTGAAATCGTTTTCGATGGTTTAGTTTGCAAGAGTATTACTACACTCCATGTCCATCTCTCTATACCTGTGTGGTTTCTATGTTCGTGATTGCCTCCAGAGACTCAACTGCAAGTTGTGTGTGTCCTATTATGTCCTACTCACTGTAGCCAACAGGTGAAATCTGAGATTTCAACTGGTCGGGTTCCGAAAATTCCTCGTGTTCATCTACCCGAATTCCGTGATTTCTACCGGAAGCCAATCGAAGAAGAAAGAAAATACCCAGGGGGTGGACCGAAACTGCCCGGGACGGACGGTGCGCCGCGCTCCGCCACCGCGGAGCCGCTGCTCGGAGCGCCCGAGGTTCATCTCCATCCTCCCGCCCAGCACCGCTGGGGCGGACCAAATTGTGCGCGTGGGCGACTCATCGGGGGCAGAGGCAGAAGGATGGGAGGTGAGGAGTGGAAGTAAGAGGTGAAGATGGGAGGTTTGAACTCCCAACGCCTGGAGTAAGTCTCATCCCACAGCCAAACCCTTAGACCAATAAATTTTTGGTAGGGACCATGGGTTTGGCTGCGGGAGGGACCATATTTTCTTCATATTCATAGGATTACTGGGAGCTCTAGGATCTGTCTAAAGCTCTAGGATTACTGGGAGCCAGAAGTACTTGCATCATATTCTATATAGTATTTCTTTTGGTCCGCGCCATTCAGGAACCATTGTACTCGTGCCATGACAGGCTGAACACAGGTGGTAGATGGCGGTAGATCAGTCAGACTTGACAGACACTGGCACGTTTGATTGGAACTCACCTCAGGTGGTTGGAGACAACCGAGAATATGCCCGACAACTGATCCTGGAGCCTTTGCTGCACGAGTGGGCCGGCTTGGATGGTGGATTTGGTGACGAAGAAACCAAGAACGAGGGAGTTCTGGTGGAGTCTTGGTGGAAACCAACATCTCCAAGAAAGAAATCAGTGCCAATTGTTTTGATTATTCTCTCTCTCTCTCTCTACATATATATATATATCATCCGGTCCACCTGTTAAAAAACACGCCCCCCCCTAATAAGGAAACCTCGGTCGCATTTTTTCTAATAGGGGGTCCCTGAAATCGGGGGGGTCCAAAATAGGGTCACCTGGAAAGAGTTTCAACACCAAAAAGTAATCCAGGAAAATTGTATATAACATCCTTTATTAAACTCGTATCAAATGCCAAAAACCTCGAGATCGAAGGGTCTTCCTTTTCCCCTACAAAAAACTTCATTAGACTAGTGATTCTTCAGTGGACTAACAGCTAAAGTGTTGCATGACCTCGGTGGCAAGTGCGTTTGCGTGAGTCCGTGCAATGGGGGGAAGGAAAGCCTGCTGGTGTAAGCGCGGCGCGTCATGGTGGATAGATAGGGCGGACAGAGGTGGGCAGTTATGGTTACGGTTGTTTTTTGTACCTAATAAGAAAAGCCCTCCAAAATCGGCCATGTTGGTAGTTTAGTAGCGGCTTGGAAGGGCGGTAACTTAAAAGCAAAATATAAACCGTATTTAGGGGATCCGACATGACATTTTTTAAGCAGGGGTCCGTTTTTTAATAGGTACTCGGGATTACATATTAGTGTGTTTTTGTAATTTGTTTTATTACTTTTTGAAACGCCCACTAGCTACTTACAAACAAACTAAGGTAACCTGCTACTAGCGAACAGACGCAGCATAGAGCTTGCACTATTCACTATTCATTTGGTTCCTAGATTCACTTCAAAAAGAACAAGCAAACACTGTAACTAGAAGCTACCAGGTTGGAGGCCATCTCTACTATATAGGTTGGAGGCCGTTACTACTAGTAGCAAATAGCTACTAGCTAAAGTCTCTAAAGATCGACAGAGGGATCCTTCTTCTTAGAATGGCCAGAATCGCCTCCCGAAGCTCCAGAGGGCCGCGGGTAGATGCTCCATGTGTGGCACAATTGATGTTCTTTCTCCAATCTCTCACCCAGCCGGCATTTCATCCACCTCACTCCCAGCTTCGGCTCAACTCTTGCTTCTCGAGGAGAAGATCGAAGAGTTGAAGGTGCAGTTCCGCAGACCCGGTCCACACGGCCCGGAGCCACAAAGAGGAGCAGCGCGAGCTTCGCGCCGTGCTGGCTTCGCGCTTGGCGCTTGTTGTGCGCTTTTTGCGCGGTCTGCGGTGTGGAGAGTGAACGTGGTGTTCTGTTGACGTCAAAGAGGGAAAAAGATGGAACAGAACATGGAGGACATCCGACGGATTGGACGTGTGGAAGAGGGACTTGACCGGAAGGGACGCCTTAACAGATAGGGGGTGAAGCACATCGTACTGAATCCCTACCAGGCCCCAGTCCAAGGGCGAAGTAGACAATTCCTTGGCCTCATTGAGGACGGTTTTTGCATTTTCCCGGATCCAGTAAAATGAGATGAGGTCCGTAAGACCTTGTAACTAGGGAACCAAACGAAGTCGATCGAAACCGTAGACCAAGGATCAACCAGCAAATCTTCATACTTGCAGAACCTCAAGTGCCACCCCTCCGGTTGCTGTCCCCGATTCGACCACGACTCGGCACGTGCGTGGGCGGCGTTTCTCGCCAGGTGCACCCATGGGTATGGCGCCGAACCTGGGCCTTCAAGGCGAGTTTGAGATGACGTGACCCCGAAAGCACCCGAGGAAGATAGCCAAAGCATATCATCGAGTCATCGGTTGGGAAAAAGAGGGGAAGGCAGGCGGCAGGTGGATGAGATTGAGAGTTGAGAGGCTAATCATTTACTTCTTAAGATTCTTGGAAGTGCAGAAAGCGCGGAACATCTAGAGGTCAAATGCCGGATGGCATGGTGCCAGGATGTGCCAAGGGGCACCTGTGCGAAACCAACTCGCAATCTCCATGTGATCACCACATGTCTGAGAAAGGTCTAGTGACTTGGAGCGCGTGTGTGGTCAAAAGTACCATCTCCATCAAGTCCACATCTCTCCACCTCTTCAGACATGGAACCGCCCAGGTCGCTTTGGCCAATCGGCTTTCGATGGGTTTGGCCAATAGGGCAAACCATCCCCCTCTTACCCGTGTGGGACGCAGCTTCCCAGCTTCGGTTCCGCTGCAGGTGGCTTCCCAGCACGGCCGAAGGCAGACAATGCCGGGGGGTGCGGTGTGAGATTTGGCTAGTGGGTCAAGAAACTCTGGTTTCAGCAGGTTGGAGGCCATCAGGTTGGAGGCCATCGCTAGTAGGTTGGAGGC